TTTTAGATTGCTGATATCCTGCCCTTGAGCAAAAATCAGCATTAATACACTTTTCTGTAAAATGTCTATTTTTCAGATGAAAGTTTAAAACACACCAATAAATAGGCCTAATAAATATTAAATACAGTTTACAATGTAAACATCCTAAATGTAATCTTTCTTTACCAAATGAAGCCCCCTGCACCCAAGAAACTGAAGCCTCCTGCAACCAAGACACGGAAACAGATGCGACCTGGAAAAAAAGAAAGATGAGATGCAGCTACCTGAAGAAGAAAGAATGTTAAAAATGTAATTAAAGGAACAGTTCACACAAATTAAAATTGTCATCAGTTATTCTCCCTCATGTCACTGAAAACCCATATAATACGTTTCCGCCTGTGAAACACAAAAAAATATCAGAATGCATAGGCTGTTCTACATCATATATTAATGCTATTATTGTCTTTGGTCCTTGTGCCCATGATTCCTTTTTATGATACGTGTTAAATCTTACCATCACCAGGTTCACGATGAGCATCTTTGAGGAGTTCCTCAATGTGGTGACTGGAGGACAATCCTTTGCTGTCATTGATCACTCTCTGTTTGAAGTAGGTTGGCCACTTTGCCAGAAACTTTCCTGAGATCTCTTCTCCAAATAGTAGCAAAAAATCTTGTTCAATCTGTCATCTCTTTTCACACGAGGATGACTCGTGGCGCCATTATGAGTGAAATCCAGAGCAAAGACTATATAACATATATATATATATACATACATACATACACACATACATACATACATATATGTGTGTGTGTGTGTGCGTGTATTTAAACTTATTCGTCTTACAAAAAAGAACCAGATTGATGCCAAATGATAGGAATTATCGAACCATGTTGGAATTAACGTTAACGTTACCTACGCAATCACTTCACGATTTTACAGCTTGAATCAGCACAAAAGTTGCAACTACTAGTCATATGTCAACAGAATTTACATGAGTCACCCTAAATTTATATATAAATATGTATTAAACTGATATGTTCAAATAATACAAAAATAAAGTTTACTTACCATGCTGCTCTGTATGAACGAATTGTAACTGACAACATGGCGGCTGTCCAGACAAGAACGAAGTTGAAAATGGGCGTGGCTTGGCCGGCAGTGTAAAGTGTTAATTAAAGCTGAGCAACACTAACTGCCAATAACAACACTAACACTTTCATTCTATTTACTCCAGCAGTGTTATATCTTACAAAAGAGTGTTAAAACTACTCTGAATTTCAACACTCACTAGTAACACCAATAAATTAACTCTCATAATTTTGCTGTGAATATAAGCACAGGTCTGAGCTCATCCGAGGTTTACAATGGCAGTGGTGGATGAGCTGTTGGCACAACACAAGCTCAATGATCGGACATACACACGGATCAGGAGAGATTATAATCAATATTATAACCACCAGTAATGTTCAATACAACACCTCTAGAAATAATGTTTTTAATTTTCTTTTTTCATTTGAAGAGCAAGATTCAGGTAGGGTGAATTCGGGTAATCTGGGACACCTAAACTCCAATGTGTTTATTTCCTGTTCAACAGGACTTTTACTATAATTTTAGCATAGATGTCTTGTGACTGAAATCACATGACTTCATTGGGGTGATTCCACAGAAAGGGGCGGGGCACTTGTCAATCAAGAAGCTCCCCTGGGAATTGCATGACAAGGTCAGTGACATAGGATTCTGACTAGATTAATGTTAAGGACATAAATCTGTCATAAATAAGACAATGTTCCTAATTGTTGTCAAATTATGTTTGTGATCTATTCAAGCAACAAAATATGTACTAAAGTGTTGAAAATGTGTTTTAGCTTTTTTTCTTTCAAACATTTTTGTTGTTGTCCCACATTCTCAAATATGATTGAGAATGTGGGACAGCATGCTTTGGGTAATCTGGGACAGTCTTCAAATGGAGGAAATATGTATTTAGGGACTTTATAAGTCTAATGACAAGGGATAATATATGCTATAATGAGAAATGGGTGTTAATGTGGAGTACTGGAGGTTATAACATTAGCATAAATTCACAGTAGCTAGCTAGAGAAATGCTACAGAGATGGAATCTGGGAAACATATTCCAGTAGCAAGCAAAGGTATCAGGATGAAGTAAACTGTTAATTTTATTTCCTAAATTCCCAGTTAGTTTAGTATACAACGGTTGGGGGAGGAGGGGGAGCAGTGCCCAGGCCAGATGACAATGTTCTGTACACAGACAAACGCACACCCTACACACACACACACGCGCGCACGGAGTGTTTGTTCCCCGAGTAGCCCCAATTTTAATAGAATGGAGAACTTGAATAACTGACTGAATAATCCATTAATCAAATTGTTGCTTGCTGTTGCTTAAATTTTAGTTGATTCTTTAAAATGGTAATACAATGTTAAACAAATGTTAAAACAATTTTAATAGTTTTAAATGAATTAAAATGAATTAACACAGTAGATTGTTAATTCTGCGTACAGAAATTAATTATTTTTCTTTTTTTTTTTATATATACATTTCCTTATTGAGATTTCTGTACTTGTCATTTTTTTCATAATGCTTTTTAAAAATTGGTGATATTGTGTTTGGCATGCATAAAGTATGTTGAATATAGGCTTTTTTTAGGCCTAATACATATGTCCCAGATTACAAAGTGACCTGTCCCAGATTATCAAATTCAGGCAGTTTTTTTTTTGGCACAAAAAAAACACTAATAGGTGTGACATGTCTCCTCTGGGTATCAACATTCTATCTTCTGGTGTGGTTAGAAAACATCTTAGGGATTTCAGAAAAGTCTAGTATGTTGATCTAATGTGTTAGATCTAAATAAATCGCAGAAGTCAATTTATGTCCCAGATTACCCGAATTCACCCTACTGCATATGTTCGTAATATGTAATATTTTTGTACTTATCTGGAGTTATTCATTCATTTTGCAGGATCAGTACAGATTCGTTACTGGATATACAGTGTGGAATCACCCACCCATATTGAAGAGGTGATGTTAGAAGTATTTTAATGAATTGTTGCCCAGCCAGCTCACCCCGATCACACATTACAAGCTAAACCACTGCCATCAAGTCCCTATCCCTCTGGCTTTTAAATGCTTTGAATCTTTTTGATTAGCAATGCATTCCCACCTGTGCATGTACAGATCCCCCTCTAATCATCATATATTTTACAGGTAACAAGCCAAAGGAAGTGGCTTATGCTGCGCGAATCAGCTGCTGGACCAATCATATCGGCTTTCACCATACTTTCGTTTTACCTGACTAAACCCCACCTCATTTACGTGAACAACGAAGCGTTAAACTTAGTCTCGATAGGTTTACAATTTAAAAAAAAAATTAACAGTTAATCATCTGCATTTGTGGGTTTGGGGTTATCCACAAAAATGAGCGAGAACCACGAAGGAGAGCAGCGGGAGCAATGCGAAGGTACAAATCAATCATAGCCTACATGATGTGTGATATAGGGATATGATAAGCGCTGGAAAAATACTTAGCTTTTTGCTAAATTGAATTAACTAGAATTGGGTTCGTACACGGTGCTTAAAGTACTTGAATTTGACTTTTTAAAATGTAAGTCCTGGAAAACCCTTGAAAACAGCCAGATTTATGAAAAGGTAGGCTAGCGTTACTTGAAAAGTGCTTGAATTATTAAAAAAACAATATGAAACCACCGTTTAATTTTTAAGGAGAGACTAAAGGAATAGACAAGCACCAATTGGCCTAAGTTTTCGTGCATTATATTCAAAGTCATCTGAAGCCATTTCATAGTTTGGTATGAGGGACAGAACAGAAGAATATTTACATCGTGAAATTATAGTTGGCGGAAACGCGTCCTCCCTCCGCCGGGCTGTCAATCTCTGTTCAGCGTTTAAACAGTGTGTCGCGTTCGTTTACGACAGTCAGCACGATAAAACCCTCTCTCTGAGATTATATATTCCTATTATAATACTTGATGTGTAGATAAAGAGCTGTGAATGTGAATTAAAGGACTTTATCTTGTTTATTGCCGTTTCTCAACGATGCCAGATGGCTTCCGGTGTTAGCGGGTTGAGTTTTTTTTTTTTTTTGTATAGCTCTTTTCCGTCAGAGGTGACTGTGAAAGTAATGCCTGTCCATTTCAGAAATGAACAGTTCAAGAGAATAGAAATCATGCAGTCAGCTAACATTAATTTTTAGGCAGAACAATGAGCTTGTTAAAGCAATTACGAGTGTGATCATAATGATTATATAATTTATATGGTCTATATATATATATATATATATTTCCTATATGCTTCCGAACTCTTTGTTTTTCTTTATTATGAAGTAGTGGTATCTGAATTGTTTTATATACAGTATATGAATGATACATTTATGGCATTTTCTATGATCGTTGTGTTATTTACTGAACTGAATAAATTAATATTTAAAGGTGTTAACTGTAATCTTACACTGCTAAATGATAATTCATAAAGGATTAAATTCATCACAATTATTTAATGAACAAAGCACACAAATCATTTGACAAATCCCTATAAAAGTCTATTAATCATTAATGCCCTAAAACTGAAATTAAGCAGCATAATTCAAATGATTTTTTAGACAATTACTCATCAGCCACATTTAGGCTAATTATAGTGACAGCCCATAAAAAAATCTATTTACCTTTTTTATAATTTGAAAGATAATAAATATATTGTTTTATAAGTGAAATCTCTGTGGTCCTCTGTGGATCAAAAAAGTAGTGCTTGAAAAGTCCTGGAATATCATTTTACAGTATCCATATGAACCTAACAGTTTTCACAGATTTGTAAAATAAAAGTTAACTTGTGTTGGGAATACATGCATCTCTCTCTCTCTCTCTTCTATTTCAGCTATTAAGAGAAACTAAATGTGTATGTAAATTGCCAAATGTAAACTTGACACACACACACACAACTTGGTTAATGGAAGCGCTCATCATTAATGTTTTAAAACAATTTTGGTATAGTCCTGCATTTTTCATGGATAGATGGAAGAAACGTTTGAAGAAAGCAACAAAGTTGATGTAGACACCAGTTTCAGATGCATGTTCCTGCAACTTACTATACTATACTATACTTACTATACTTTTTTTTTTTACTGGAGTTTTACCTGAATTGTTCAGTGCATTGTGTTTTAGGGTTAACAGAAATGTTTGGAAAATTACCGGACAATGTCCTGGTAGACAATTACTAGTACATTTTCCTTTTATTACATTTCCTGTTCCATTATATTATTTTTTTTTTTTACTAATTTTATCATTAGTCTCATTTTAAAGTTGAGTTACTAAATTTGAATAAAAAAAAACTGTCTAAAAGTTGCAGAGTAATGCATTTTATTCATTTATCCCCAGAGGCCAGGTTTGTGGATGAAAACTATGCAGACCTTATTCAAAACGTTACTCCAGTGATGCCAATAGCAGATGAACTATACAACAAGGGCATGATACATGCTGAAAAATATGCAGAGATCAAAGCAGAAAAAATAGACCAGGAAAAAATGAGAAAAATTTTGGAATCATTAAAGTCTGACAACTTCAAAACCGCCTTTTATTATTTGCTGGAAAAACATGCAAAACACCTCTTCAATGACCTGGGTAAGAGAATATTGTCATTTATGAAAGAGATTTATGAGTACTACAGCTACAGGTGTAATCTATAACCTGTACTGTGCTTAATGTTAACAGGTGGTGTCAGCAGGAAACGCAAGCTTGCTGATCCTGAATGCTCAGTACCATGTAAAAGTGAGTTTACCTTGTTGTAATTAGTAGACAGTACTTGTTGGAAAATATTTTGAAAAAGTCCCATGTTGATAGTACTGATAGTGGAACAATTTATAGCTGCCACAACTGTCAAAATGATTAAGAATATGAAGTAAAAAAAAAAAAACTGATACACAGACATACATTAAAATACATTTTAAAACAATCAGAGTATAAAATCTTACAAAGTATGTAAGCCTAAAATCTTATTTAGCACATTAAAAATAATGAGTGTTACAACAGTCCTGGGTTAGTGTTACATGGGGACAACAAAAGCGGTTCTTTTCAAATAAACACATCTGATGTTGGATTTGTACAGCAAAAAGTGAAAAACGTTACGGCTGTACTACTGTATCAATGTTACAGTGCTTACACACAGAAATCAACCACCATTGGGAGACATTTGACTTGAAAGTTTAAATCATATTGTACAACAGTATTCATAATTACATTTATAATAGATTAATGTGTACAACATGAATGATTATGTAAGGTCCACACACTTGGCCCAAGGAAGGTATCCAGTGGTGGCCGAAGGTTTCTTGCGTGTTCGGTCTTTTCAGCGCTCAAAATTCAACTCTAATCTGACCCCATTTTATTATTTAATCTGACTCCATTTTATTATGATCTCGCATTTGAGATAGAATGCCAATTAATATGAATCATTTATAGGATAATTTATCTAGACATCTGATTATTCTGTTTATTCTTTAATATTATTGTACTCGTTCATTGGGTGCTCATGTCGCTCAAAGATATCGCTTCGGCCGTTAGCGTATTTTACAGTCACATTCTCGTCAGTCTTGGTTATTAGACAGAGGTTATTGGCTAATACTTTAGACGGCCGCTCCTATGCTTGCTCATTCTAAAAGTACTTTTATTTAGCCCCCATAGATTTGTATAAACTTGAATAAAGCAACATTATTTCTAGTCAGAGGTCACGACCACTACTATAGATATAAGCCGACCAACATTTCTTTCCCTGATAGTAGTTTTGGTATGGTCATGCCATGGTTTCCCATGTACACTTAGCTAGAGTAACATTACAATAAACAGAGGTCATGGCTCACCCTATTTAGGTTGGTCGAACAACATCCAGTTGACCTAAAAGGAAATTCCCTATAAGCCCTTACAATCTAAGTACACTTGAACTAATACCAAGTGTTAGCCGGATCTCTAAAGATACAGTTGGTGTGCCCTATGCTCCATCACAACTGAATTTTAGCCCGTTACTAACCTGACGCAGGAAATGCGGTAACAAGGATACAACGTAATCTACTAGAGTCAATAATTACAGAGTAAAACAGAATAGAATAAAATTTAACAATTTATTATCAGTCAGGTAAATATGTATTATGCCAATTACATAGCCAATTCAAATATATCAAATCAATTCAAAACATTAAATTCTCAAAGATGAATCTAAGAGTAAGATGCATACCTGACTTTTAGAAAAATACATAGTGTAAAGTGTGTGGACACACTTCATACTATGGGCTCTTTCTGGCTGCAGAATTGCCCCGACCCTTTTGCTGCAATCCTTTACATACACAACCAAGACAAAACATCTCCCAAATGGAGGCATGTACAAACAATTGGAATTTGCTGGTAGGGGGTGGAATGGTACACAGATGTCACGGTTCGGTACGTACCTCGGTTTGGGGTCACGGTTCGATATGATTTTGGTACCAAAGGGGGGGGGGGGAATCTACTATGCTCGGTTATTTTTCATTTATTTTGAACAGACAGTAGGACAAATTAAAAAAATTTCCACCTAGATGTGAAAATACTAAATATTATTACATTGTTATAATCTGCAGTACATACATACATACATACATACATACAAGGAATAAATTCTTGAAATATATTTGATTTAGTTTACAGATAAACAAGGGAAAAAACAGTGCGACACATAACGTAGCCTATATATGCTGAGCGTATACAGTGATGCATTATTAATAAGACAATAAGTGTTTAAAGTTGATTCTGCTGGTATAAGGAAACAATTGAAGTGATCGCGCCGGCGCGCACACACACACACACAAAACACATCAGTTCCAGCATTGCTAACTTCACAGCACAGTTGGTACTTTATCAAAATAAAATACAGTGAACCAAACATCAGCGTGCCCGCTTCTGTGTCACCGTTAGAACTGAAGTACACAGCCAATAATTTACATAATAAATAATAGTTTAGCATTCAGATACGTTACATGCAAATATGGAAATATTATGGAATATTTGGATTTGTGCCCAGTGAGAGAGGTAGGACAAGAGCACAAAGCTCCATTTCACAAACAGTTGTGCACAAGCCTTTAAAGTATACTCCTTTGCCAGTCTGTGAGAGACGCATTCAGAGTCAGCACATGGTACCTGACTAGTGGGCTTTGTTTTCAAGTGCGCAACTCACGACATTCGCTGTTCTTCTGCTGGCGGCCGGTTATCAAACAGCGTTGCATTGCTGCGGGCGCTCCCTTCTGGATTGGGGGTGAATTGCCTGTATTCGTTGTGCACCGAGATGTCCGCACCGTGACGGTTCGGTACGAATACATGTATAGTTCCACCGCTACTGGGTGGTTTACACCTCAATGGGAACAGAAGGTAACTTGCATGGAATGACACAACCTCTACAGTAATCAAAATATCTCTTAACTCTTAGGATCTGTATTATCGGGTGCTCATGTCGCTCAAAGATATCGCTTCGGCCGTTAGCGTACCTTACGGTCTCGTCAGTCTTGGTTATTAGACAATTGGTAATTGACTAATACTTTAGATGGCCACTCCTATGCTTGCTCATTCTAAAAGTACTTTTATTTAGCCCCCATAGATTTGTATAAACTTGAATAAAGCAACATTATTTCTAGTCAGAGGTCACGACCACTACTATAGATATAAGCCGACCAACATTTCTTTCCCTGATAGTAGTTTTGGTATGGTCATGCCATGGTTTCCCATGTACACTTAGCTAGAGTAACATTACAATAAACAGAGGTCATGGCTCACCCTATTTAGGTTGGTCGAACAACATCCAGTTGACCTAAAAGGAAATTCCCTATAAGCCCTTACAATCTAAGTACACTTGAACTAATACCAAGTGTTAGCCGGATCTCTAAAGATACAGTTGGTGTGCCCTATGCTCCATCACAACTGAATTTTAGCCCGTTACTAACCTGACGCAGGAAATGCGGTAACAAGGATACAACGTAATCTACTAGAGTCAATAATTACAGAGTAAAACAGAATAGAATAAAATTTAACAATTTATTATCAGTCAGGTAAATATGTATTATGCCAATTACATAGCCAATTCAAATATATCAAATCAATTCAAAACATTAAATTCTCAAAGATGAATCTAAGAGTAAGATGCATACCTGACTTTTAGAAAAATACATAGTGTAAAGTGTGTGGACACACTTCATACTATGGGCTCTTTCTGGCTGCAGAATTGCCCCGACCCTTTTGCTGCAATCCTTTACATACACAACCAAGACAAAACATCTCCCAAATGGAGGCATGTACAAACAATTGGAATTTGCTGGTAGGGGGTGGAATGGTACACAGATGTCACGGTTCGGTACGTACCTCGGTTTGGGGTCACGGTTCGATATGATTTTGGTACCAAAGGGGGGGGGGGGAATCTACTATGCTCGGTTATTTTTCATTTATTTTGAACAGACAGTAGGACAAATTAAAAAAATTTCCACCTAGATGTGAAAATACTAAATATTATTACATTGTTATAATCTGCAGTACATACATACATACATACATACATACAAGGAATAAATTCTTGAAATATATTTGATTTAGTTTACAGATAAACAAGGGAAAAAACAGTGCGACACATAACGTAGCCTATATATGCTGAGCGTATACAGTGATGCATTATTAATAAGACAATAAGTGTTTAAAGTTGATTCTGCTGGTATAAGGAAACAATTGAAGTGATCGCGCCGGCGCGCACACACACACACACAAAACACATCAGTTCCAGCATTGCTAACTTCACAGCACAGTTGGTACTTTATCAAAATAAAATACAGTGAACCAAACATCAGCGTGCCCGCTTCTGTGTCACCGTTAGAACTGAAGTACACAGCCAATAATTTACATAATAAATAATAGTTTAGCATTCAGATACGTTACATGCAAATATGGAAATATTATGGAATATTTGGATTTGTGCCCAGTGAGAGAGGTAGGACAAGAGCACAAAGCTCCATTTCACAAACAGTTGTGCACAAGCCTTTAAAGTATACTCCTTTGCCAGTCTGTGAGAGACGCATTCAGAGTCAGCACATGGTACCTGACTAGTGGGCTTTGTTTTCAAGTGCGCAACTCACGACATTCGCTGTTCTTCTGCTGGCGGCCGGTTATCAAACAGCGTTGCATTGCTGCGGGCGCTCCCTTCTGGATTGGGGGTGAATTGCCTGTATTCGTTGTGCACCGAGATGTCCGCACCGTGACGGTTCGGTACGAATACATGTATAGTTCCACCGCTACTGGGTGGTTTACACCTCAATGGGAACAGAAGGTAACTTGCATGGAATGACACAACCTCTACAGTAATCAAAATATCTCTTAACTCTTAGGATCTGTATTATCTTTTAGTCTACTTTTGTAAGATTGAGACCATTGTACCACTCGCCCTGAGACTATTCAAATTATACCAAACATGACTGTAAATATTACTTGCATTCATGTAGAACATTATACTATTGACCATTCTGAGTGAACCAAGTGGAGGGAGGATGGGGAAGGGGAAGGAAGGGGATGAAAAGGAACTGATGCATATGTGAGTGAGGCGTTTCCTGCACCTCCACTCTGTGGGCTGTCTTGAAGATGCCTGTGTATGTTTGTATTGTCTGTTTCTCAGGGGATCAAAGTATCTGAGTTTCTTTCATCCTTACACTTACTTTTATAAACTGTAAATAAGATAATACACAATATAGTGTAATGTATGAAGTATTTATTATGTGCAAGGATGTCATCAAAAACTGTTAATCGTTTTCTTTGTCACAGGACTTAATACTGAGAGTATAAAACAAGACAGCCCTAACTATAACAATGCTAGTAACTCAGCACCAAGACCAGCACCAACATACATTGTGACCAACATAGTAAATGGTGAGTTGGGATTTTGATGAATGAGAAAAACATTAATAAAACAATTGTCAGCCATATGCAATGTTATACACACTATACAGTATTTATACGATTGTGATGTACTGTAATTTATGTGTGGACACCACTACCTGTAAATATTATCTTTGTGCTTTATGTTGCTAATGCTAGAAAGACCTCATAACCTGGACAATATTACCAACATAAATGAAATGATTGCCAAAAAAGAGAAGAAGCCTCCCGCACCCAAGGCGGCGAAGAAGCCTCCCGCACCCAAGGCGGCGAAGAAACCTCCCGCACCCAAGGCGGCGAAGAAACCTCCCGCACCCAAGAAAGCGAAATAACCTCCCGCACCCAAGAAAGCGAAATAACCTCCCGCACCCATGAAAGCGAAGTAACCTCCCGCACCCAAGAAAGCGAAGAAACCTTCCACACCCATGAAAGCGAAGTAACCTCCCGCACCCAAGAAAGCGAAGCAACCAAGTAACCTCCCGCACCCATGAAAGCGAAGTAACCTCCCGCACCCAAGAAAGCGAAGTAACCTCCCGCACCCAAGAAGAAGAAACCCCCCCCCGCACCGAAGGGGAAGAAACCTCCCGCACCCATGAAAGCGAAGTAACCTCCCGCACCCAAGAAAGCGAAGAAACCTCCCGCACCCATGAAAGCGAAGTAACCTCCCGTGCCCATGAAAGCGAAGTAACCTCCCGCACCCAAGAAGAAACCTCCCACACCCAAGAAAGCGAAGTAACCTCCCGCACACAAGAAGGCGAAGTAACCTCCCGCACCCAAGAAAGAGAAGAAACCTCCCGCACCCAAGGCGGCGAAGAAACCTCCCGCACCCAAAAAAGCGAAGTAACCTCCCGCACCCAAGAAGAAGAAACCTCCCACACCCATGAAAGCGAAGTAACCTCCCGCACCCATGAAAGCGAAGTAAGCTCCCGCACCCAAGGCGGCGAAGAAACCTCCCGCACCCAAGGCGGCGAAGAAACCTCCCGCACCCAAGAAAGAGAAGAAACCTCCCGCACCCAAGAAAGAGAAGAAACCTCCAGCATCCAAGAAAGCGAAGTAACCTCCCGCGCCCAAGAACCTAATTTTTTGGTTCATTTAAAATCTTTTAAAATGTTTTAAAATCTATGCAGCACTTGGTATGGTTGTGCTGTTCTTACCGAACTTTAACACTTGTTAATTTTACTGGATGCTTTCATTTCAATGCTTTTTTTTTACTTTATAAAGAAATGGATGTAGAAAATGCATATAAATTACACCCATAAATATCCATTAGCCCCTTGACATAGTACAGTCATTTTGTTGGTGTTGGATGGGGACAGAGTGGACTTTAATTTATTTGGCATGCTCCCCTTAACCATTATATATGATCTATTAAATAATAGCGCCTTTATCTGGCATATGTTGTGAGTATTATTAATTAGGACAGAGCCGGCCCAAGGCATAAGTGACCCCCCTTTCTGATGGTTTCTCCCCCTACAAATATGATTAAAAACCACGCTGTGTATTGTAAATAGCAATGTTTTATACTTTAAATAATTGTGTAAGTAGTAAAACAATACAAAAAGGACAAAAATGCATTTTAAAGAGGTCATATGATGCTATTTTAAAAGATCATTATTTTGTGTATTTGGTGTAACAGAATATGTTGACATGCTTTAATGCTCAAAAAACACATTATTTTTCAAATACTGTACATTATTGTAGGTCCTCTATGCCCCACCTCTCTCAAACGCTTCGTTTTCTACAAAGCCCCCTCATTTGACAAGCGCAGTCTGCTCTGATTGGCCAGCTGACCCAGTGCATTGTGATTGGCCGAACACTGCAATCACGCGTAGGAAATGTAACGCCCCTTACCATAATCGCGAGCGTCAGCTATCAAAGTAAATATCAAGACAGTTAATAATGTAGTAAGTTTTACCATCAGTTCAAGCCCGAAAGGGCAACAGAGTTGCGTGACAGACACAGTGATGATGCAGTACACAAGCCACGGTTAAGACAGCTGTAA